AATTAAGATCAGTTATTATGCGTCAATGAATTTGCATATTTTCCGCAGAATTGTATGTATTCGTTTTGAACTCTTCCCCCCCCCCAAATTTGTCTACTCTTGTTACTTATTATCACCCCGAGTTATTTCTCCAAATTAAAGGAGAAAATAAATCTTAGAAAAAAAAGGCCAAAAAACAACCAAATTAAATTCAGTTTTTAATCAGTACTTTTTACAAAAATCAAAACAAAATGAAAAGCATCACTGGGAATGTATCATAATTGCAGGAGGAAACAGACATATACACACGTACATTTTTGATAAATATAACTGTACATTCACTATACAACCGCGGCACACAATATCTAATCAATAAATACAATGCTGTACAATAATACATCAATTATAATCAAAAACTATAATAATTATCCATTAATAATTATAATTTTTAATCATAATAATTAATCAAAATATTAATAATGTAATTCTAATGCCGCTATCTATATTTACAATTACATATACAATACATACACGAAGAAACGAAACTCCGTTGCAGACATAATCTACTCTATACAATCAGAAATCTTTACTGGACAAGTTCAGAAAGAAATTCGGACAATGATATAAACTATTCTGGACAATGTGCATTGGACGTCTTATGGATGTTAATAATTCGGTAGAACTGATCGCTAGGATGAATCAGTGTTAGTTAATGCAGTTCTTATCAGTACTATTAATCATTAATAGTATTGTGAAATGTGGAATTGTTTTTCTACAAAAAGAAGTTTTATTCCATTCAAATCCAATTTTCGTTCATTGGTATTTGAAGTATAAGTCAAGTTCTTGCTGGTCACAACGGTGTCACTATTGCTCTGGACAAGGTTGCTGTAGTTGATTATGACAGGTTTAAACAGGGGCGGCAAATAGAAGTGTCACGTAACTTCTGTCGGTAATGGAACTTAGTTTTTTGGTAGAAAACAGTCTATTTTATTGTTCATTTGCTAATTTTTTTTTTAATTTATTTTTTTAGATTTTATAAACTGAAAGAATAAACGTGATGAAAAAGACTTTTCTTAAAATTCTTTTCCTTTTTTACACACTTATTTAAAAAAAATATTGAATAAAATTTACAAAACATTCGAATAATTTCAACAAGCGTCAAAAATGAATGATACCATGTTATATTACTTATTAATAGTAGTATATAATCAATTATGCAATATCTCCATTTAATCATGAAAATATTCGGTATAAATAATATGGCCATTACATACGATTTCATGTTATATCGTATTGTCGGAAAAGATATAAAAACGGTGTTATAAAAAAAAAATTTTATTTATTCTTTTATTACTATTTTTTTTATTTTAATCGTTTTAGGATTAAAAAAGAAATTCATTTGTTTCGGAGAAATTTTTTCAGAATTTTTTCCATTTTATTAAAGCTAAACTTTGTGACAGATGATTTATTCTACCTTTATTATAAAATGCATTTAATTTTTTCCTCATATAAATGTTAATTTTAGATAAATCACTTTATAAAACAAAAAGATTAAACTGAAACAAAGTATTAAAAAATAAAAGCCTGTTTTATACCTTAATAAAAATTAAGAAAAATATATATAATTTTTTTTAAAAAACATTTCTCGCAATTCACTATGCTCGTGAATTGCGTCTTTCGCGCACCCTGTTTCATTTTAATTGATTACACACTACTACTTACGCATAGTTTCAGTAATAACAATTAAATCATACATCTTAATTTCAAAATAAATTTTAAGAACAAATAATGGCACAATATCTATATGAATAGATAATTTTTAAAAAATATTATAAACATATTAAAATCTCTAATAAAATATAAAAATTATAAACTTTTCAATAAATGGAACTACATTGAATATACGGTTCAAAAATATATCTGTTGGCATATTTTTTAATTCGGAGCCAGATATCTTAAAGCTATGTACTCCATTAAGATATCCCTGAATATGTATATAATTCGGGTATGGATTTTATGGAGGATATGTGCGTAGACAATACCTTTTAAAATGTGATTTTACGGTTTGAAGAATTATTTCAAATAATTAGGTTATCAAAATTGTATGAAGATATGCAAGAACTAATAACAAATAGTTAACTGTTTCAACAAAATATATAAGAGAAATATGTATATTTTAGGTTAAACTAACGGCAATAATCGTGCAATGTATGAAATACAAGTATTTATATTTTCTATTCATTTAATTAATTATATGTTTAATTATGAAAGCTTCTTATGAATCAAAAGAATATATTTTTAAATTTTTAAATAAGTAAAAAATATTAACGTTTTCAATAAAATAAAAAAGATATATTAAACAAATGATCTGAATTTTACCCTGTTTGAAATATCTAACATTTATCACAACATCAAATTAGATGGTTCAACGCTTTGCTTCTAAAGTGTTCTAGTGTTTTCTAAATTGAAAAATTTCATCGTTGATAGAAATTTTAAAAATGTTATTATCGGGAGTTTAATTGCTTTCTATAAACGAAGCTTTATTTTATTTATATTAAAAAAGTTTACAAAACTTTTATTTTTTAATTTGTGTACCATTTCTTAAAAAATGAAAGTACAAGGTGTTTCTTTAATAACCACCTTTAATGTATATTTTCAGAAACTTTTGCAAAGATAAGGTAAAAAAAAAAAAAAATACTCATGGTAGAGTCCGCAAAATATTATTTAATCTACGAAAAATAAAAACTTTTCCAAAACCTGACGAATCAGTAATGGTAAAAAACGAGATTAAAAGCAGCAAAATCTGTTTGATTGCCAGAAATAATTGGTGATTATAGAAAGGTGAAAATTGATTTTTAGAAGCAACCTCACACTCCACCAAGCAAACAAATCATATAATATTTCTAATCTCCGATTTCTTAATGGTGGTTCAGCACGCTTAAAAATCCATTTGCAACCCACAATGTGGATTTTATTTTAAAGCATCGTTTTTTTAAAGATTCTAAAAATATATATTAAAGGCAGAAAACCTGTATCATGGAAGAAATAATTTTTATGTAATGTTTATTAACTACGTTCCTTTCATTTTCCAAGATTTTTAAAGACATATTTTTTTTCTTCGATGATATCAACTAAATAGCAATAGATTTTTTTTTTTTTTTTTAAATTGCGAGCGTTGTGATAAAATTGATATGACTACTATCTAGCAATCATGAGATGAACTACCGACCTAACTGAAAGCAACCACTCACTGATCACTGAGAGTTTACCTCGTGATTGCCTGACAGTATTTAAATTTAAAAATATTGCTTATTGTTTATGCAACACTAACAGGTTATGCAACATTATCAGGCATTTTTGCAACACTTACCAAATAATAAGTTGATATCATATTCTATAGACTATTATTCTTATAAATTGCGATAAATTCTTGAAATGCAGTCTTTCTAATGATTGTGTGATTCCCATGCTTACAAAGTGAACTTCAAAAACACTTATCAAGTTTTAACTGTTCATGATTTATGACAAATGTTGTATAACGTCTGTAGAAATGCTTCTGTTTCTGATTCACAGTATTCCCAAGAATTCAGGAACTCTCACAGTAAATATATTCCTTAAAATACACTGCCTCTTTGTGGTCAGTATTCCTCCAAAAATAGAAAATTACTCTTTTTTCTTCAATTTCAAATTAATATCTTTTTTTATGACAATTTGCTTCCTTTCATTCATAATCTATCAAGTTCAAATCTGAAGAGCACAGTCAATTCTTACAGAACGATGTAATATTTTCCTCTATTTTTTTTTTCAATAAGCCGACCAGTCTGTGTAGGGGGCAGGGAACTGTCCTTGCATCAGAAAGGTTCTGGGTTCGAATCAGATAAAGGAATTTTATAATTGTATGCGAATATTTTTCAACTCGCCTTAAAAGTTCTCAAGTCATGGCGAAATATTTTAAAAGTAAAATTTACATTTAAGGGGTTCAAATTTTGATCGTTCTCTTGAACAACTGTGTCGATCATATTTCCTAGATTGTAGCTACCCCCTATGTTTTGGGAGTTAGAAATCCTAANAAAAAAAAAAAAAAAAAAAAAAAAAAAAAAAAAAAATTCAATAATTATCTCTTATTTTGAAATGATTTTAAATACATGGTCATGTATTGTGTTCAAAGATTTGTCATAATCTGAAAAAGATAAATCGATTGCGATGTTGTAAGGTTTACAAGCCATTGGACATGAGTTAATCACATTTATTATTAATAATTTATTTTTATCACAGGCATTGTATAAAAGTGCAGTTTTAGGCGATGTGTCATATATTTTATGATACATTAATTATGCTAGTAGTCTGATAAAAGTTATCTATAATTTTGAGTTCAACAGTTTACGATAATTCAAGAAACAGAAAATAAAGAGAAAAAAACAAAAATAATCTTTCCAAAAAGGAAAGAAAAAAAAAGGACTTTGATTTTAGTTGGAGGTCTGGTCAGTTAGAAAAAGAAAAGTACCGAATAAAGGTACTTTTCATCTTTATTTCTAATTTGAATAAAGATGTCAACTGGCTTTTAAATTCCGATAGATATTTTTCTATCTGTTCTTGAATTACACAATTATTGCAGTCTTTTAATGGTTTTTTATAATAGTCAGCCTACTATCGTAGTTAATAGTTAACCTACTATAGTAGTTAATAGTTAGCCTGCTATAGTAGTTTAGTATAATTATGCTTACTATTAATTATATAATATTTCAAATATCTCTAAAAACTTAGTCACATTTAAATTATATGTGAATTTACATAATATTTTAAATTTAAAACTATATGAATCAGGAAATATAAAAATATATAAATTGCTTACATTTGCTGACTACCTGTTTGTTGATATATACCTGATTGGTAAAAGATTTTGAATAATATCTGAAATTAATCAGTGTAATCTGACAAGTTCTCATAATAAATTAGATGTTTTCTTGTTCCAGATAAACTGAACTACATCTAAGTCTTTTCAATGGGTAGTTAAAGAAAATAAGCTTAAAATATCACGAAATTTTGGACCAAATTACATTTAAACTTCCTCAACAACATGAACTTTAACATGTCGTTCCAGATGATTACCATCGATAAAAATTTAAATAATCATCATATTTTAGACTAAATCAAATCAAAACTGCACAACAGGCCCAAATCATTTCGTTGTACATGAAGTAAAAGGAAGCAAATCATTCAAAGACATTCGAAGTCGAAGAGTAATTTTCAGAAGTACCAATTTAGCTTCATTAAAACGCTTTACAAGTTCTATCTTTGTCCATATTGCAAATATATTAATATACAATATTTTGGCATTACAGAGGAACATGTCACAGTTCTGTCAGACCATATTCATCTTTGGGTTCACACGGTAATGTGTATGAGCGGTTCTGTATAGGCATTAAAGCTGGTTGTGGTGGTGCCTGTTGCTGTGTCGGCGTTTTGCCTGTATTGGAGTTGGTGTTATTCACAGTGTTATTGGTGGTGTTATTGCTGTTTGGGTTGTTAGCACTGGGTTGCTGTTTCTTCTTCACGTTCTTTGTATTTGGTAGCTTATTGTCTTTCTTCCACTTCATCCGCCTATTTTGAAACCAAATCTTGATTTGTCTTTCTGAAAGGCAGAGGGAATGGGCGATTTCGATTCGTCTCCTCCGCGTCAGGTAGCGGTTGAAATGGAACTCTTTTTCGAGTTCTAGAATTTGGTGTCTTGTGTAGGCAGTTCGTTGTCGTTTTGGTTCAAGGCCTGGATATACTCCATTCACACCTAAAATATAAAATAAAAATCATAAGGATTATTTTAGCCTTTGATAAAAAAAATAACAATAAATAAAGAACAGAAAAATGCAAACAAAAAACTGAATAACTTTTGTCCTAACTATCGGATTTTTATGCGCTGTCATAAAAATATACGCTAACTTAAAATGTCTTACCAAGAGAGAAACTTTATGTCGCAAATTCACGTTTACCATCATAACTAATTAAAATTTAAAGTGTAGAAAAAAAGAGCTCAGGCCAACCTTAAGGAAGCAGTGAAATTTCAAATACTGAAAAAAAAAATTTAAAATATCAAACTGAAAAAAAATATATATATATTTTAAGATAACTTAGAATTACGCAATGGAGAAGTTCTCTATTAACAATTTGTTTACAATTTGATACTTTAATTTTTTTTTCTTCAGCAATTTATAAGGGTCAAAAAACTACTCCAGGTTTGTCTGAATTCACTTTTTCTATATCTTAAATTAGTTATAGAGTGAAAGAGAATTTGCGAAGAAAAGTTTTTCATGTTGTATATCATCCTATTAAGCAATAATAGAAAGGAGTGAGACAAGATAGATTACAAAAGTAAACCACAGTTTCGGAACTATTTTGAAGTTGACTTATGCAAGCCAAGTTGTAGAAAACTTGTCACGGGAAAAAAAAGACATAGTTCCTGTTAAGAAATACGTCCTACTTGTTACAGAATAAGAAAGTAAGGAAATTTTATATCACCGACTAAAAAATTCTCTGTTTCATTCCATATTGTGACAGTCTATGGAAGTCATTCGAATGAAAGAAATTCTTACTGTCTACTTATAGATAGAAATATAGAAAAAGCTTGTTAGATATTTCGATAAATATCTTTTTATAATAATTGGATCTTCAATTTCAACACTCGGTAAATTATTAAGACTAAATCTTAATGTTTTAACAGACTAACCTTTGATATGCTAGTTAATTAGTACACAATATTTTAAATTTTGAAAATAGACATAAAAATGTAATTCCGCCTAATAAATATAGTTTTTTTTTAATTAGATTTTTGAGCCTTAATTTTTCACGCTTGATTGAAAGAAGTCAGACTAATAGTTACTGAGAAATAAAAAATTATAAATACGACTTTTTCTGGGGCAGTGAAATACGCAAAAAGAGAAATTAACATTCAAGACTCAAAATTTTCGAGACTGCGAATTGTCTAAATTATAGAGACCATATTTTACATGTTACTGATATCCCAGATATTTTGAAAATTAAATATCAAAATCTGTCGAAACAGAAGAGCCATTCAAATATTACATGAGCTTCTAAAAAGGAGTTGCTTATTTTTACTGATAGAGTAGGGGCGTGATATAAATACTTTAGATACTAGAATCACCTTTAAAAAAATGTAAAATAAATGTAACAAAAAACTTTTAAAACTAAATTAAGAAAATTTTATAATTTTGCGCAATTTTGTTGTTGATTTTTAAAATTTTATAATATTTTTTATCATAACTTTTGTTTAATTCAAAGTCACAACTGAATACTTTTATTTTATGCAAAGTAACATGCGGCTCTTTTTGTTTCATGAAAAGTTTAATTCAAATTCAAAGATTCCTACTGTCATGAGATAATACAGAAAACTTATCCCAAGGCTCTATTACATTCTTAGTCCAGCTTATTTTATAACCGTCGTAAAGATTGAAGAAACCGATTGCCTTCGTAGAGGACTGAATTAACACTCATTTGCGTTTCTTGAAGAGGAAAACCACGGTAACACTAATCCATGATCCGTCTACCACTGAGGATATTTTACGTCAGCAATGTGGTCTGTGTGAGTCGACCAGCATCGAGCCTGTATGGATTAGCCACAGCTGTGATTCGAACCCAGATCACCTATTGGAAGGCGAATGCTCTATCCCCTGAGATATCATGGCTTAGAGTAGCGTATTATGCGTTTACTAAAGATTCATGCGTTAACAAGCAATAAGGATTTCGCCCAATACCAATACGTCTCCCGGTCCTTCTGTGGTAAGGCAGTGCGATTTGACTTTCTTCAGAAAAAAAAATCATTTATAACGAGTTGATGGTGCGACACAAGAAAGTCATATAAATATAAGAGATATAATAATATATCTTATTGTGATATCAGAGAATTAAATCACAATATTAAGAATTTTAACTATTGAAATTAAGAAAAATTTTGGAGTTGCTTAATATTCTTAATAATTTTAATTAATAATATCAATTTTTGAAGTACCTTTGTGTTCATTAATCCTTGTATATTATTTATTTTTATGTACAAAAAATACCTATATTTTCATCTGAATGAATATTTAATTGCCTTAAATTCTGGCTCAATGGCCTGAATTGAATTGGATGCTAAATTCATAGTTATTAACGAAGGACCACATTAGGATTCTTGGGTACTTTTCTCCGTTTTTTTGGAGCGTTTTTTTTTTTCGGTAATTTTTTTCTCTCTTCTGCTAGAAAATACCCCCAATTACAACGACGTGTGCATTTAAATAGAGTAGATGCACAATGATTTCGTATTGTCCCATCATTATGAATTAGAAAATACCCCAATTACCGCGATTCATTGAGTACTAATCCACAAACACAAAATTACCCATAGCTTCCGACCAATATTTTCCTGATTCAATTTCAATTATGAACTGCGAAAATAGAGCCCAGTAATGGTCCATAAAACCGCCATCGTCAACGGTGCTAAAACCCACTGAATGCCTCGGCGGTCTCCGAGACCACTGACAGTTTTACAGCTGTCGAGGGGATTGTGGTGGTGAACCATTTATCTTGAGCCACCATTTTGACAGCATCAAAAGATACTCCGACCATCATGCTCTGCTGGAAGGATGGAATATGGTGAAGTGATGGGACAAAAAATGGTTACACTATAACTGCTGCTGACAGCATAGACCGATTTTTTTTTCTTCTTCTCATAAGGCCATCATTGCTTTTATTGTGATTGGAAATTATAAATGAATGGGACAGTGGCATCATGAACAAAAAGAAGAAGAAAAATGATACGCCCAACAACAAGAACAAAAAAATAAATGATCCACCCAATATGTTTACATCACTACCTATTTGTATGTTAGTTATTTTTGTGTCGTAATGTATTTGTATAGGTGTGGTGGCAGAAACCAATTATGTAATGAGAACTAATTTGATAATAATTAACATAATTCACTTCGGTACACTTGGAAATACTTTTTATACTATACGAAACGTCATTGTGACGGGAAATTGGGAATATTGGCTTAATTTTTATGAAAATTTCTAAAGCATTTTTCTTTCTATCAGTGTTGCTTCTCTGCAAAACTTTCAAAACTGTTCTAACCGTAAAGAACATTTCTTAATCTGGAGAAAAAAAGAAATGCCTCAGATGGTACTATGAAATGTATAAAAAAAAAATTTCTCAAAAATTTGGAATATATATATATAATATATTATATATAGACACACACACACATCAAGCAGCAGGCTCTGCAGATTATTTTTCCCTTCAGTTTTAAAAAATACTGAGAGGAGATAACGAAAAAAAAAAATTTTTTTTTACTTTCTCGACTACTTTTTGTTTAAGGTTCTTAACAAAATTCGCTTGACTATCTTGAGATATATAATCGAAGGAAAAAGTATGACTTTTCTGAAATTCCAAATAATTTTCTACGATGTTAATATTTGAGGAACAAGAAAAACTTATTCATTCCAAAAATTAAATTATTATTCATTTAAATTAAATTATTAATTTACAAAAACTCTAGTTGCTTGTTTATAAGCTGTATTGGGACTCATTCCTGTTTTTAAATCTCAGTTATTTTATTTATTTAAAGGCGCAAAATTCTTTAATTAAAATATATTCATAGCAACATTTTTTGCGTATAACTTTGTGTGCTGATTTTTTTTTTGTACACATGTTATATTAAGCCTAATTTTAATAATATAATCTTTGTCAGACTGCGTTAAGGTCGCAGACAAATTTATGCTGCTAACTGACTCTGTAATTTCTGCCCAGAGATCATGTTTATTCTTCACATTTTCAGGTTTTCGGGTAATTATACTTCTTTTTTAATATTTCAGTTTAGAGAATTTTTAGGTTCCCAATAATTAATTTTCTCCAACTTAAATTTGAAGTCAAAGTACATGAATAAAAAAAAATTTAAAAAAGTCATATTACCAATGTAGAAAGCATAATGCATTATCCGGACCTGCCAATATCTCTTGTTTTAAGCCAGATAAATTCGCTAGGTATTTAAACTGGTAGCAAAATGTGATTTTAAAAATTCAATTTGAAATAATTTGAACCATTAAGAAAGTTAATAAAGAAAAATCTAGTAAGTATGATGTGAGAATTTTAACTGCTAGAAAAATTCAAAAATATATGCCATCACAATCGTTAATTTCAATGATATTTTAAATTTGCTGCAGAGCTGCTATATGTGAGTCGACAAAAAAATAGTTTTGGCTATGAAACCAAAATATACGGTAATAGGCTTATTTTATTCATTCATTTATATAAACCAAAAACAAATTAATAACTAAACTAGATACAGAACAAAGACTGCAAATTTAACAGTCTAATTTAGGATTATTAAGGATTATTAGGATTGTAAAGCCTAATTTAGGATTATTAATGATAAAATGATGGAAAGTCTTCCTTCCTCTAATTAAATATTTTGAAATAAAGTTTTAATAGGTTATAACGTTAGTAAATTGCCTTAATTTTATTTATTATGTTGGGGTTTTGCCGAAAGTAGGTTGAATATTTAAGGGTTCCGTAGCTTAAAAAAAATAAATGGGTATCACTGCTCTAAGGTATCATGATAAAATTACCAATAAGTTCGTCAGAACTGTCAATCATTTTACAATTTATTTCGTAATTTCAACTTTTTTATGTTTACGCCTTTCACCAAATAGAGTAGTAATAGACTGTTTATACTTTAATGGTTTATTTAAAATTTTGGTTCATTTAAATGACTGATAGAAGTTAGACGACGGTTAATT